CAGTTTGTTGAACACTTACTGCCCAGTCTTTTAAGTCTTGCTTCGGATCCTGTGCCAAACGTAAGGGTTCTGCTTGCCAAGGCTCTGAGGCAGACATTATTGGAGAAAGGTATGGTCTCTAACTTCCTCTCAAAGGTCCATGTCTCATGAATGTTGTCCTTCATCTGCCAATGCAGTTACTCATAAATTGGCCAGCTTGACTGGTAAAAACTTATTTAGTTCTGTTCATACTGAAAGCACGATGATACATTGCAATCTGGGATATTGCACTTAAATCTATATTCCTAAATCAGAATTTACACATGTATAACACTGTCTTTTTTGACTTGAAGTGGTTGTTCATCATCCATAAGGGGCTGTAAATTGGCAGGGATAATCCATCAAGTGCAGTCCTTCATCCACTAGGGGGCAGTTACATACTTGCTTAAGGCAGGAAGTAGCTCTGTTACTCCCTGTTACTGCATGTATTTATTTTTGGTATCTGTAATGCTTACAGCAAATATTTTTTTTATTTCAAAATTTTAAACATCATCTTAGTTACTCTTGCTTTATTTCATGCATTTATTTTGAATTAAGTATATTTTCATTTGATAATTCAAATGAAGCTGTACCTCTTTCTGAAACGGTTTGCTTTGTTTTTGTCTCAAGGTAACAATTGTAGTAGGAGATAATGTCGTTTTCTGTGCTGCTATGATTTTTCACTATTATCATTCCTTGGAAAACAAAAAAAGACTGATTTCTGGTTAATCAAAGCAAGGCACAGAAATTTCCTCTGTTTTTTCTCATTTAAAGTTATGGTGAGTGTTTTCTGAAACACTGTATAGCTGCAGCTTCCTGAGCCTCTTTCTGTTTGCTGATATGCTTCCATTTAGGAACTAGAAATTCTTCATGTACCTAATAAGATAAATAAGAAGCTGCATATTTTTATCAGTTTCCTTAGCTTGCTGTAATGTCTCTACAGAGTCTATAAATGAGATGAGAGACCCCCATGTATTTTCAGCTTCCTCGGTATTTCTGTGCTGTGTATGCCCTGTGGTTTAAAAGGTTCTTTTTGGCTTTGATTAAAATTCTCATTTTCTCCCTTATTCCAGCTTATTTTAAGAGTGTTGGCAATCCTCACCTAGAAGCTGCAGAGGAGACTATTCAAGCTTTGCAGTCTGACAGAGATCAAGATGTGTCCTTCTTTGCTACCATAAAACTAAGGCAAAACAACATGGACAGTTCTCCCACTGAGAAACAAAACTAGTGTGTTCTTCTCCAGTAAGCTCTGAACATCAGAATTATTATTTGCACAGCATTCATGGTTAGTATGAATAAGGTGGACAAACAAAAACTACTTCTTGCCTTCTTGAGTTAAAAAGGGCCTATTGAGAATTGCCATCATCTTCATTCCATGACTACTTTCCATCTACAACTGTTTTTCTACCTTTGTTTTTGACCAATTCATTTTTGGGTCTTTTTTTCTTCACAAATGTGGCTGGTAACTGCAGGCTAGGTCACAATTTGCTGTTGTCAGTTCTTACACATAGTTTATGTTCTCAGTAATTAGAAATCACTTTTTTTTTTTTAACAAAACAATTCCAGTAGTTGCTTGCTATAAGCTTGCAATATTTTCTAAACCTTGCAACTTCATTATAGCAAATTTACCTGAAGATATTATTTTCTCAGTTTTATTGTAGCTTTTGTATTGTTTCAAGTATTGCATTTTGTTTTAACTGGAGGAATTGTATATATGTAAATAGCTCTTAATTTTTAACAAAAAAAAGATGAAGAATTTTTTTCTGTATCAGTGGAAAAAAGCTCAATCATTTCATTTTATGAAGTAGTTATTCTGCTGGAGGTAAAGCACGGTTCATTTTTACTTAATATAATGTGATATTTTTCAAAGCACAGAGCTCTGACATTTTTGTGACTTTTCTGTTACTTTATTACTAAACTGTACTCTTACAGGTGTTAACGCTGCTCCTGTTACTGCTGGTGCTTGTAGCTGTAGAGACTGTTAATGTCTCAAACTGAAAATTACTCATTCCATCCTAGTGAAGTTCCCTTCAGCTAAAGGATTCAGTTCTTACTACACGTTAGTATCTTTGGAAGGATATCACAGGATTTTATCTATCTAGGTATTATCTAGGCTCTTTTACAGGTCTCTTTCATTTGAAAAGCACTGTGAAGTGGGCCAACGTTCAGATCCCCATCAGCCTGTTACTTTTTTTGTAAGATGTAGAGGACATCTAAGTTCTGGAGAAACTCCAAATCGTAAGTGTTCAGGGTAAAGGTGTTAATTCAGTTTGCTCTAGAACTTTTGTTTATTATATGGTAAGTGTAGAGGCAGACAACAGGTGTAGGCTGCTGAGATCCTTAGGCTTGAGCAGGACGTGCCTTTTGTTGATTTAGGTCTTTCAGAAGACAATATACAGATGGAACAAAATTGCATTAATCTGACAGCTTCTGACTAGTTTGCAGAATTACAAAGCTGATAATTCTTGGTGGATGCTGTCTTCTGTTATGCTCCAAACCTACGTTACCCCCGTAGGGCCTGAAACAAAAAGAGGTTTATTTTTTTTTTGGTTTGGTTTGGTAGTTTGTCTTGTTCAAGAGGAAAAAGTTCTCAATACTAGAAAAATGGTTTCATGTAATAAGTTACTTTGTGTACCCATTAATTTGTTGTCAGTAGACCTGTGGAGATATTTCTGTCCTCTTATTTCACTTCTTTAAATTATTTTTTAAGATGTGGCATGTCTGAGATGCAGAGTCCAGCTGAGGAACCTACTTGCTGTATTTTTTAAGGGTACAGTTTTGTATCAGTTTGTCTAACTAGTCTTGTATTATAATGTACAGTATTTGTAATAAATTGTTTTCTTGTGAGTTCGCAATACTTTTGGAAAATAAAGGCAGAAATGTACCATTGCCATCACTGCTCTTACAGAAACAGCATAAGCTGTAAGTTCTGCAGCATTCTACAATTAATTTTTTACAATTTTTTTTAATAATTTTAACTGGTTCTACAGACTTTTTATGATTGCAATTTCTTAACAAAGATTATTCAAGTTAATTTTTTCTAGTTCTAATATCTTTTTCTAATGCTGGCTTTATATTGGTATTTTATAACAGTTCAAATTTTCTAAGGCCTTTCTGAGAAGGTTTTACTTCTGTTTTTCTATTACCAGCTCACTAAATTTCTCAGCACTGATCAAAATTTTTGTGTGTATATGTAAGTATGTTTGTAATGTACATGAAGTTGAGCATTGACACAGCCCAGGTCTCTGTTAGATAATGTTTTGTCACCTTGCAATAATCCACTGAAAAACACACAAGCTTTTGTGTTTTGGCATGTTTGATTAGTATTCATCAAGAATTTTTAGTTAGAATATATATATACATATATATATGAACAATAAGCCACCATCTGTAGAAGTTCACTAAAAACTAAATACAGATCTTTGTTTTTGACAGTATTTAATACCTCTCTAGCTCTGAAAATCACATCTGTTCCAAATGGTAAGATTTCATTTGGAGCATTCAAAAATCTGTTTGAACTCTACAGTTGCATGCACTAATGGAGGACACCGTAGCTTTTGGGAGTGTCTTTTTTTCTTTTTGTATGACAAGGTGCAGGTCTGTTGATGCAGGTTTACCCTTTGCAAGGTTTGCCTTTTTGTTGCAATTTTCTACTAGAAATGATTTCAGCATGACTAAAGACTGCACTTTACATCTTGTTCTGGACAAATGTATACAGTGATGAGTAAAGCTGTGTGTTAGCATACAATCCTCTGGGTTTAAATTATGCAAAAAAAAAAAAGTATGTATTTTAAAAGCCAGACGAAACAAAGTGAGTTAATCCACTTCCACAAAAACAGTATGAATATCACTTTAAAGCATTTCTAGCTAAGGAACATGAAAATAATGTTAGTGGGTGCAATATTGCTTGACTGTTACAGGAAATCATCAAGCACTTGTAATCCAAAGCATGTTAGTCATGTTGCTTGGAATTCAAACTCACTGGTATCTTACGTATGATGTACACTTGGCATCTGTGGGGATGCTGCCCTAGTGGCAGCTGTGACTGTACACAGTGTTGTTTAGAACCCAGTTAATGGAGGCACTCTGGAAGTGTCATTCATTTGTCAGAATAGAGAATCTATGTAACTTTCTATTTGTATTTATCTCAATAAAATCTGTGACTGTTTTATAAATCAGCTTGTAACTGACTTTTGTCATTAGTGGAATAAGAATGTGTTCCTTTGGTTACTGAAAATCTCCCTGTCGTAAGTGCAATCATCTCTTTAAACCAGTGTCTTTTGGAATTCATCATGATGTGTGATAAAAAATCCATTAGATGTCCGTAGATTTGAAGCAGCTTTCGGCACTTACTCCTCAAAGCAAGCATGCCAGCAGTACTTTGAAACTTAGATTCTGTCAGAACTGGAGCTCTAACAAGATATATTTTAAGTGGAAAAGGCTTGTGGATGTGTTGGATGAGAGTGGCATTCAGATCTTTATATTATATCCTTCCAAACTTTAGTTAGGAGCAACATTCTGGACTTCTTTTCAGAGTGATGCTCTCAGACATCCTGCATAAATGAATGATTGTGAAGCTTTTAGACTTTGAGGGGGGAATGAGTAATCAGCACCTGGCTGGTTGGATTTGCTTCTCATATCAGGAGTCTTCTGTATGTTCTGCTGCTGCAGTCATCCTTTTGTTTGTTTCAGATGCTGGCTGTTCCATCTCTTGCTCTGGAGCTTTTGCCAACTGTTGCAAAAGAACATATGATCTCTCCCCTTCTTTTTTCTCTGCAAGATTTAACATGATGTAAAAATGAAGAGAATAAGCAGCCCCTTGCACCTCCTAGTGAAGCGTTTCCTCACTTTCATAAAGACAGGAGAAGTCTGTGTAGTGAAAGTGGAAACACAGTGGAACAGCCATGTGCTCTTTTTAACACACATCAAGTTAATGTGTATATTGTGACCTGAACTTGGCCAAAGAAAAGAGGAATGTGAAATGTGGGTGCCTCAGATGTGTACTTTAGTAATTAGTTTCTTTACTGCTCATCTTCCAAGTAAGTTTGTCATCCTAGTGAAAATCAAGAGGAAAAAGTCCTTCTGCTACCATCTTGGTGTGTTACTTTCTGTGAAGTTCTCTTGCTTTGTTGGTACAGGCTATTACATCACACAAGCAGGTTGTACTTTTGTGATGTCAGTTTATGCTGCATGGATACTGTAATGTGCTAATGGTACACAGGGCTGTCCATCCTTAGTGACATCTATCCTGATGACGAGGAGTGCCAAGGGAAGGGAAGAATTACAACTGGTATCAGACCCCTGTCCTTATAATGGTACCAACCTTTGTTAAGAGGAAAGCCTCAAGCCTTCCCAGTCAGTAACAACTGCATGCCCAGGTCTTCCTCGCCTCTGCAGACCTTTAGCTTCCAGCTCAGGCTAGCTGAAACTAATGAGATATTTTCACTACCTCAGTGCCAGAATGACTTGACGCTGAAGCAGCTCAAGTCTGATTTGGAATTATTGACTGGGATCCCCTTTCATTTCCAGCGGCTTCACTACCTGGATGAAAGTAAGAACCTGTAACCTCTGTTGTTCTTGAAGGTTACTGACAGGTTATTGTTCACTCACCATCTATTTATTATAGTTTACATTTGTTTACAGTCTCTGAGGGTACGCTGACTTGCTTTTATTTTATAACTCCCTTCAGTAGATCTGCCAGACGATTCTACGCTTATGGACAATGATTTTGTCCCTGGTGGAACAATTACAATGCGCATCTGGAGGCAAGATGGCTGGGGGCATCTCGTGGCAGCTGCTGCCAAAGGAGACACGATGAAGGTTGATTCCATTGCCTGTGAATGCGTGGGGTGCTGTCTGTAGAAATGCTGAAAGTGTGTTGCTGAAGACTTTAAGTGCTTTTATCAAGGAAGAGTTCATAGGGGAAAGAGTGGGGAATTCCTTAATGGAAGAGACAATTGTTAAGTAGGTTAGTTGTATTTACTGCAACAGTTAACAGTGAAAACAATGAAACAGCAATCCAAAAACAAGAGAAGTCAATCCTTAATGCAGGCTGTTCTGTTCAGAAATGTCTTTTTGCTGTTATTAGTGGACAGCATATACAGTTGAAGCCCAGTTTTTTCTCTGTCTTGGGACTTTTTGTAGGATGAGTCTATACTCATGATTTACTTTTCTTGTTCCTGCTACCTGAAAAATGTTGGGATTTTTTGTTGAGCTGCCTGCTGTTTTATTCTTTTGATGTGTTCTGTAGAAAAGATACTTCATTCCAGTACTTTTCATACAGGTAAGAGAGATGACACGTAGTATGCAGGAAAGGCCTCTTTCTTAGGTATCTTAAACAATCATGAGAGGGCTTTGGATTATTTCTTTTTAGGCATTCAAGAGAGTCTGAGTGACTTGTTTGAATTATGAAATTGAGGCAGAAACTCTTTCTTAATCCATCCTTCTCTGGCAATATTGGCCACGGAGGAAGAATGGGAACTGATGCTCTTTCAAAGCACACAACAGATTCAAAATCAAGGATCAGAAAACATTTTGCATCCCTTTTGCTTTACCTTCTGTCTTCAGTTTGCAATGCTGTCAAGCCTGATCAGTAAGACAGCTTTAATTTTTTTGCAGAACAAATAGTTTTGGTGGCTCTCTGATAGAGGACATGCTGCTTTCTTGATTTAGGACTGAAGTGTTGTCTCAGCAGAAATGCGAGGCACTCTGATATGTCCTGTAAATCTTTAGGCCCAAACAGATGTGATCACGAAATATCCTTTGGTGCCTTTCATAACGAACCATTATCGCTGTTGTCCTGGCCAAATTCCAACTTGGCTGATTATATTCTGTTCCTCTGTATCTCCCCAACCATTGCCAATTGATGCTGCAGGATTCTTCTCTTGCTGTCATTAACTGTTGTGTAGTGTTGCACTTCATTGGTAAGCAGCTGTTCTACTTCATGCCACAAACTGCTTCCATTTTGCCATTGGGCAAAGTGTTTTTTTTTCTCCATGTTTTAAGTTCCTTGTGTATTAGAATCTTCCCTCTCAGTGTGGAGGCAAAAAGATGTGCCAAAGGCAGTGGTCTCCTTTGAAATGAAAGATGTATTAAGAGCCCACAAGAAAATTGTTGAGACTTGACTCTCAAATATATTTAATAGAAAAAAATCATTGAAGAAATAACTGTGCAGCTGCTCTATTAATGTGCTTCCTCTTACTAGGTGAGAAGGCCATGGTGCAGTGTTAAAGATTTAGTCCAGCTTGGAATTGCGGTCTCGAGAATAACAGCAGTATGAGGCACCTGAGAATTGTGCCTAAAAGGCTTTTTGGCAACACTTGAGATATGTTTTGGCTTAATTGTCAAAAAACCCCACAGACCACCTTATGGAAATAAAATGATACAAGACAATCCTGAAGCAGCTAATGTTTGAGTTGTCCAGAAGAATTAAGGCCTAAAGTCTTAATTAGATCCTAAGGAAGTTCTGCTTACATGGCGAGTGTCTCCTGTCTTTGTTGTCCTCTCCCAAAAACTTAGAGCCTGGTCAGTTTCCAGTGAACTTGAAGAATTTGTGAAGTCAGTAACTACATGCAAAAAGAAAACCTAACTTAATGTTCCCTTTAAGGGATGGCTATGAAAAAACGTCGTTAGGTAGTGGCAAATCAAGATAGGGCAGCACAACATAAAACAAGCATGTGCTATTTAGAATGATTGACTTAGAATGATTTATGCAGTATGCTCTACGTGCTGAAAGGAGACTGTTGATATTTTTGAAGAATAAGGCCATCTTTGTGAAAGAGATTAAAAGGTTTCTGTTTATTCTGCAGCTGGCCCAGCTGGGAGTTACAGAAGAGTATGCTGGCACCTCTCCATATGCAAAGATTCTGGGTCCGGAGCAGAAAAAGGAGTGGGTAGCACACCGTGCTTTTGTGGCTCTGTTTGTTGCCAGCCACAGAGGTCACGTTAACACTGTGAAGTTTCTCCTGAGTCATGGTAATGTTATGAGATAGACTTGTTCTCTGGCTGTTTTTGCATAGCATACCACCTTCCTGCTTACCAAGTTACAGAATTTTACCTGAACTATCTCTCAACTTTTGTATTTGAGTTGAAGAATGCATTTGGCCCATCAGCTCTGGTGTAGAATTGAAAACAATCAAAACTGCTCTTGCTAACTGTAACAAGTTTGATATTAAAGTAGGTAAATTCAGAATGGAAAACAGGAATGAGAATTATTTCCTTGCTTTGGAGCCTCAGTTATTTCTATTTTCTTGTTATCTAAAGATGTTCAGTTTTTCTTGATCTTGTGCAGTGCTTTACAGTCACTGCAATACAAGCAGAGTTGCACATTCTGCTTCCATGGCTCTGACATATGGGCTGTTTGCCCTTCCTGAGAAATATGTATTGTCCAGCAGTACTCCTTCCAGCCCAGGTTCAGCCTGGCCCTGTTAAATCTTGTTGAGGGATGGTGCTGTTTACTCCCAGTGCAGGAGTAATGGCAGCGCTCAACTGGAATGTGACTTGGTGTGAGCTCTGGCCCGTTGTCCCTTTTTATGAGTCCTGTCACACTCATACTGCGTTTCTTTGCAGGTGCAGATGTGCACTCTAAAACTCCACTGGGAAGGACTGCGCTGCACGTAGCTGCTATCATGGGCCGCTGTGAGTGCATTGAGCTGCTGGTGAGCTGTGGGGCACGAGCCCTCGACCCAGATTGTGAGGGGCAAACCGCAGTGAGGATGGCCCAGCGCTGGGGCCAGAAGCAGAGCGAGCGTGCCCTGATGCGTGTCCCACGGCCGCCGGCTGGAGCCAGGCCTTGGTGCAGGGATGGAGCTGTGCTGCAGGCTCATGGCCAGCCGGCCTGATATACACAGTCTGACCTGGTTCTGGCAGATCTGAAGACAGTCAGTAACTTTCCCAATGACACGCACTTTAAATAGAGGTCACTGAGTACCTTTTGTAGGGTTTTGTTATGAAATAATGTCATATTCTGATGATGCTGCAGCTAAGGTGACAGCTAGCTCAACCACATAACCCTTGAGCGTGTGCTTTATTTGTAATTTAAGCTTTCTGGTAGTGCTGCTTTAATTTCTTTGAGTTTAAAGTTGCCTTTTTTTTTTTCATCTGTGGATGTTGAGATCGGGAGGCGGCAGTGGGGCCGGCAGGGGGTGTCCCAGCACTGCACTCAACTGCAGGCAGCAGTGCTGCATCCTCCCCTGACGGTGGTGCTCCGACTGTCTCCAGAATAAGGGGATAAATATCCCTGACTTCTTCCTGGGAATCGAGTACTAAAGCAAGGTTCAAAACCTTAGCCTATGGAAGCCAGTAACTGGGAGAGCATATAGCAAACTTTTTATGTGCTGGCATTGGTCTGAACAAATGCAGAATTCCTGCTGGAACGATGCCTTTTAGTACTGTTTAAAAAAGGCTCACTCTCTGGTTTCCTGTTGGTTATTAGTTCTGCCTGATTCAAACATACAGATGTTGGGTAAATGCAATGACAAGATCACGTTCTATCAAAGTGATCAATGGACAAGATATAAAATGGTGTTTGATGTCTTGCTGAGCAGTTGCATATTGTAAGCAGGATTATACAGAGAAATCTTTAGAAATCCGTTATTCTTTCTTTGTGTTGTCTGTCTAGACTGTCTGATCTGTGCTTAGGCTTCTAGAAAGGAGGAGAGGATTTGTAGTTGCTTTTAGCCATTATGCAGCATAACTTGGGAGAACATAAGAATGTCATTCACAGAGAACTGAGTGTCTTCAGGATGAGAATTCCAGAAATGGTAGAAAATTATGTAGTATACAGTCATGGAGGGCAGATAGCAAGTATTGCTTGCTGGTAGCTGGAAACTCACCCTCAGAAAAGAAAAAGAAAAAAAAAAGAAAGAAATCCTAAATGTGTTGTGGCTGGGAAATGAGTGTACACTGATCCAAAATTGTCATGGGGCAAATCAGAAGAGAATTAACATCTGGACAAGGCCAGCACTGGAACAGTGTGTGCTCGTGTTTTTCTTAGATGAGAAAGGAGAACCCAAGCTGAAGAGAGATTAACCAGAGGAAAGGAGGGAGTTTGTCCTCAGGAGAGGAGCAGGAACACGAGGCATTCTGCGTTGTGGTTGTTACTTGCTCTTCTCTGTGCTACAGTACAGAAGGAGGATCAGTCTTCAGAAGAATTTAGTGAGGACTTATTAATGAGCTTTGGGATTCCCAGATAAAGGAAGAAGCTGATTGTTATGAAGAAGAAAAAGGTACTAAAATGCTTTGTGTTTAATTTGGCCCAGGGCAGGACAAATGTCACAACTGTCTCCTAATATTAGGAAATCCAAAGCAACCCTTTTGGAAGGACTGTTGGTGGCCCTGCATGTGGCAGGAGGGTTGGAGATTCATGATCCTTGAGGTCCCTTCCAACCCTGGCCATTCTGTGATTCTGTGACTGTGACTCCCGTGGATGTAAAAACCAAAGTTAAATAAAGATGACAAGCACAGCAATAATTCATCACACTTTCTTAGTGTTACAGCTCACCCCTTTCCTTGCCTGGGCAGAGACCAGTACTGTTGCTCATAGCCATCACAATGACTGCTGCTCCCTCAGAGCCTTGAGAAAGCCAGAGCTCAGCAAGCCTGACACTGGCTGCTGCTACTTAGAGGTAGTTGCTGTAGCCAGTGACAGCCTTGGATGTCTATAGACTGTCACCTTTGATAACTCTGAATAATGATATGTTCCCCAAACATTTCCCCTTCCTCTGGAAACATTTCTAACTTTAACTGAGTTATACCTGTTCCATATTTATCTGTAGTGCGGAATGTCGTGGCAATCATGACATTCATTTTTCAAAGTGAATCAAATGAATAGAAATTGTTAAATGCTGGAGTACAATACAGCTTATAAAACCCAACATCAGGAAAGTTGCACTGATTGGACTCTTAGATGCTGTTTTCCTTTTGCTTGGGAAACAGAATTGTAGTCAGCTTGCAATCTCCTCAACATTGTTCATGGAGGAAGCAGACAAAAAATACCAATGGCTGCAATTTAGTTAATTTTATGCTAAACACAATCAGCATTCAAACTGGGAGTTACCAAGTGAAAATGTATTGATGGAGAAGCCAAAATATTCTCTGTGAGTAGATGGTGAAATATTAAAATCTCAAATAGACTCCTGAAAAGCCCATAACTGTAGGGCGGAGAAGATGCAAAGGTGAAATTTGGCTCTGCTGGAGTCAACAGGAGGTCAGTGAGGTCATGAATTAATCCTCAACATGGGAGGTCATGAATCTGTGTGGTAGGAACCAGTGCAGCACTGGTATAACATAAGGCCTTGTGACAACAAAGACAATGATTAAAAAAAAAAAAGAGATAAAAAAAAGGTTGCTAAGGATGTATCTGAATCAGGACTTATGTAGGAATGCTTTCTCTGCCATCAGTTTTCAAATTTGCAGCGTGCCTTGCATTGCAACCACCAACTGTGTTCAAAGACAACCAGAATTTGGTTGTGAACTTTCTGAGGATCGTGTTGACCATTAATGTTTAGAAAGGATAGCGGTTCACGGAAGGAAGCCAAACCTATATACTTTCTAGCATGCTTCCAACATCTATTATGCTTCCAGCATCCCGTTTAGGTTGGTTTGATGCCTGACCTACACTGCAATTGAGGTTAGTGCTTTGCTTTTCCTTGCAGTTCTCCATATGGTATTCTGTTTGCAAGATTTGCTTGACATAACTGTCTGGTATGGTTTGTTGGTGTTTTGCTAGGATTCCTGTGTGTTCAGAAGCTAATAAAGGAACTGTCAACTTAAAGGCCTGTCTTAAAATGTGGCCCTACTGGCTTGGGATAAGAAATGCAGAGATTCCTCTTCCAAGCCTCTTCTGTGGAATTCGTGATGCTATTTCAATTCCTTTGGTTTCCAGTAACAAAAAAAACCCAACAACTGGGGTCAAGCAGAAGTCAAGGTATAAAAATTAATCACTGTGAGCTTCCTTACTTGTAAGCTGGGCCATATGTTAAAGGAATGAGCAGTTCTTATATCTCTTGATGAGTGTTTGTATGCATCGTTCAAATGTACATGTGTTTGAATTCCAGCCTGTACTGATTGAATTGGTCTATGATAATAAACAGGATAAATAAATCAGATGAAAGTAAAAGCACTGATGTGCTTGTAGAATTGTGCGGGATTAAGTTCAGTACTATGACCTTGAGCAGGATGTAATTTCAAAAGTGCCTTAATTATGATGATGACATAAAATAAGGCTGAGGAAACTGGAAAGGCAGAGAGATAGGAGGCAGAGGAACAAAACAAACTCATTTGGAATGACTTGGTTTTAGCAGGATTACAGGCTGTTAAGTGGCTTATGTGGCTTATGGTAGGGAAATGCAGGGCCAGGGACCATAGGCAGTCAGACTCCAATTGGAGTGGAGTAGTGTGCAGTAGAGATCAGAGCATGGCTAAAAGGGCACGTGCAGCATTGGGGGAAATCGTTTCTAAGGTGAATTGCTGTCTTGGTGCTTCTTTTCTGACGGAGATCTGCTGTACAGCTGTGCTTGCTGCACAGCTGAGAAACTGCTGGCCCTGTTGAATTCAACCCCCATCCAGCAAAGCACCTCCTCCTGTGATTATACTACTGTAATAACAGTGATGAAAGAAAGGTGACTTCTGTGTACTTGTGCCCCACGTTTCTATTATCCATTGGTTCTCCATAGCACAGGGCAGCGTTAGAGCCTGCATCCTTGGAGTTCCTTTGTCGGTTCGAGCTGTTGTCACGCGCCTAGCTAATACCCTCTAGTAATTTTCTTATTCACATGCACACTTAATGTCCTTAGTCATTAGACTGAAAAATGTTAACCTTGTCATAGTTAGTGACTGGAAGCAGAAAAGTCCATTTAGTTCTCAGGGGAATGAATTCTAATTTTCTGCTTGTCAGAAAGTGACATTTTACATATTTTTCTCTTTTTTTTTTTTATTCCCACCATTTTAGTGCTGAGTTTAAATGTGTGTGTCATAGGAATAGACTTTTTGTCTCTGCTAAACACCCCAAAAGGCTTGGCAGGTATCCAATGCATGACCCTCTTGACCAACAGCCACTGCTTGAGCTTGTCTTGTGCACTGAGGAGAATGGGAGGTGAGAGTGAAAAGTTAGAAGCAAGGGGTTATTGCAGAGGGCATATTAATGTTGCATGTCAGAATGCATATTTTTTTATCCCGGAAAATATGGATGAAAAGCAGCTCATCTGGAATAAAATATCCAGTGAAGAAACAAATTATGTTAATCAAGCAGGCTCGTACTAATGTTAGTCATTAAGATGTGACACCTTCTATATAATGTCACAGGCTGCTGCAACCCTTTGAGAAGAGTGCTGGTTTGAAGGCAGCTTGTCTGTGGTTATTGAGTTCACTGTTCTGTGAAAGGGAATAACTTGTGTCTTGAAAAATAGATGGCATTTATGGCAAAGAGAAATCATCCTCCCACAGATTACAGCTGTTCTTTGCATTGTTGTGTTGGTGGTCTTATCTCATCAGTGGATATTTTCTGTGTTGTTTTTTGGTTGTTTGTTGTTTTGTTGTTTTGTTTTTGATACATTTCCATAAAGCTGTTCTGAGGAGAACATTGTGTGCTGGGAGCTGGATGTGTTTTGAGAAAGAGACACCACCACAAAGAACTCGGAGTCTAAATTGAAAAGATGGATGAAGTGAAAATGAGGGATGGTTGTTTTGCTTCTTACAGATGGGAACTGAAGCAGGAGATTGTGACTGTTGTGGCCAAAGTCACCCTGGGAGTCCACAGAACTGCATCCTGATCTTTGAAGTCCAATTTCAGTATTTTTATCATGTATTGCCTTTCTGTTCCCTTGCTGCTGAATCTAGATTAAATATGCATGTGTAGCGAGATAAACATGTTCTACATGTGTTTAGCCAAATTCTGACCTTAGGGACATGAAACAAGCTCTCACTGATGTAGATAGGAGTGCTTTCATGAGTGGATTCAACCCAAGGAATACAAAACAGCGTTGGCATTTAGTTCACGAAACATCCTCTTGTAGGCCTGAGGTGGAACTGGTGTTTTAACCAACTTCAGCCTCTCTGTGAGGTCTGGAGAAGGCATGCCAGGCCAGAGGGTAACAAAACTGTGGGGCTGATTGTCTGACTCCTATATTGCCTGCACACCAGATACTGATTAATGATTTGCATGTAAGAAATTAATTAATGGATGCTGTAGGTTTTTGAGGGAATAGTGTGTACTTACCTAATTCTTCATATAAAAAAAAAAAGGGGGGGGGAAGGAGGGAAATGGCCAGCACAGAGCCCTTCCTCAAAACAGCATAAAACAGCATGAGATTTTGGCTCACTGGGTGTGATGATCCTTTCTCTTGTTTGGATGCTTCTGTTATACCAGGAGTACTGTCCGCGTTGCGTTATTCAGCTCTGAATCAACTGTAGCAATACTGCCAAATGCACAAGGAGAAGAATACAAAACGCATTCTAAATAATTTCAGCATTTATGTGGTTTTGGGTCTTCTGTGTTTCATGAAATCTCAACAGATTGTTTGCTGCAGCAGGACCAGAAGGCCGATAGGTGCAGTGCAGAGCGATGCCTGTCCCTGCTGACAGGGACTGGTTAGCAATGGCTCCAAGGTATGACTGAAAGGAGAATTAAAAGCAGATTTAGGGAATCTTCTTTCCTCCTTGCTTCTTAAGTGTATAATTCTGCATAAATACATCATGGAAATCTTAACTGTAATTTGCCGGGTATGAAGAAGATTGTTTCTTCTAAAGTTAAATAGCACTGATCCAAGGTGAAGGAGATGGTCCTAAGCTCTCTGTTGCTTATAGCCAGCCCACAAAAACGTTTATTTTCTCAATGCCGTACCTTAAACAAATAGGAGCACAAGTAAATATGGTGAAATGTTTTGCTCTGAACCATGGCGAGAGCTGTTGCAATTGGTCTTTTCCCATTTGCATACAAGTAACTCAAATGATTAATGGCATTGCTTCCAGGAGAACAAACATCAGCAGCGCTCCCTGCAAGCCAAGTAGTTGTCTGGTTGGCCCTGCAGTGAGTTACCTTTCCCCTGACAAAGTGCCCTGGTCAGAGCCATCCAGAAGTGCAAGCTGAAGAAAATTCTACAATCTTGAAGATTCAGGGGCCATCTCCTGGTGTTCTGTGCTGCAGAGAAAGAGCAGGAAGTGTTGGAGCTCTTTTCTTCCTCCCAGTCCCTGACCCAGCAGCACCGCTGCTGCACAGACCCACCGTGCCCTGTGACAGAGGCACACAGCCAGCCTGACTTCTCGGGACCTGGGCTTAAGCAAGAAGGGCGGTTTTGTTACCCCTGCTTATGTCTCACCAGAGAACTGACTGCAGCCACGGCAGAAGCAGTGTGCAGACGATGCCCCTCTGCTCAGGTGAATGGATAAGCAGTGTCCCTTCCTGCTTTTTCTCCAGCCCATGAGGCATTGGCATTGCTCAATAACTATACCTTGGCTTCTGCTAAGGGACTGTGAACATACAGGGTTTGCTCCTTCAGCAGGCGTTGTGCTGAGATGGAAGCTGCGCTGCACATAATGGGGAGCACAAGAAATGGCTGTGGATTTTATTTAAACAAAGGATAGGAGTGTGCTCTGGCAATAAGAGCATAATGTCTGCTTGGTTTTTCCAGACAAGGACAGTGCCTTGCTGGTTGGTGGTTGTTTTTTTTGGGGGGGGGAGGGGTGGGGGGAGGGAGCCTCTTGTTTGTGTTTTTGCTCCAGCTTTTAAGGATGAGAATGTTGTGTCTGACGCATGTCAGCAAGCAGAGGAGATTTACTAGCATGGCTGGGTTTGTCTTGCTCCCCTGTGATGAATAAAAGCATTAACCGTCTCTCACTTCAGGAGGAGAAGGGGGGCTGTTTTCAGCCTGCGAGAAGTGAGAAGGCTTTGTCAGGTTTGGGTCAGGCAGAGCACAGGGCTGTGTGCTGCTCAGAGGGCGGACGAGCCGGGTGTCACACGGCAGCCTGCAGGCACCGCTCGGAAAGGCAAGAGACAGCAGTGTGCGTGTGTGCGTGCAGGGTGTGGGGGCAAGGCTGCCATGTCCTGTTTTGGTGCGAGGCTGTTTGCTACAACAGCGATCCCTCTGGAAAGCAGTCTTGAAAGATGGATTGAATAAAGAGCAGAGAGAGAAACGGCCATTTCCATACTCCCTGTGCAGTTGTCTGAACTGTTACAAGCATTGCTTAACAAGATGCCTGCCCGGTTGTGATCCCGCTCTGTACATGAGGCCTGATCCTGTGGTCAAATGTATCCAGTGGAGCCGTGTAATTACATGACTGAAAACGATGGGGGGGAGAAGAAAGGATCCTCTTTGTTCTGTTTATTTCTGTTTCTTCTGCAATCTGTTTTGATGCTTTGAAATTCTCAGGTTTATTTCAATCGCGGCTTCTTTAGTGAATCACACGATGCATGGAGGAGAAAAATATGAAGGGAATTGCCAAATTTAAAGTTGGGTCAAGCTTTGGCAACGTACCTGAGAGTAGAAGATGTAGTTTATATTAATAAAAATGTGTTGTACTGACTCATCACTTCATAATTTCAGCCATATTTCAATATAGCTGTGTAGCTGTGCAGTACATGTCACCAAAAGGGGCTGCAGAACCTTATCATGTGATAAGGAAACAGTAGAGCTTGGAATAGAGACCTGGTCAGCTGGTTCACATTAAAGTCTATAAATATGTGTTATCTGTTATTATAATTTTCTTAGTGATGCAATGCTTTCCTCCGTTCCAAAACAGTTAAGTGAAACTGGAGAATCCTTAAAGTTGTAGTTTGATTCATTATTGTAATAAGCATGCAATGGCCGTGGGTTTAAAGATCCTTCAACACAAAATGAATTCAGACCAAACCCTCGTAACTTCAGCTGGGTAAACTTCAGCACAGAAACACAGAATGGCCCGGGTTGGAAGGGACCTCAAGGATCATGAATCTCCAACCCCCTGCCACAGGCAGGGCCACCAACCTCCCTATGTAATACTGGGCCAGCTTGCCCAGGGCTATGGGAGAAATGTAGGAAAAACTGAGAGTTTTCTCAGTTTGTTAACAGGAAATGCAGAACTTTTACATAATTCCTACTGAAAAGAAGGAATTTTTCACTCCTGGGTGAAAAACAATTTTTTCTCAGTTGTCCTCAAAATCCGTAGTTTTTTGTTACCATTGCAAATGAGGAACAATAAAGTTAAAAGATACAAAAGGCAGGACAGGTAATTATCCTCAGAGTTACTCTCTAAAGAAGAAATTTTAATGCACTGTGCTCTAATGTACCGAGTGTAACGTAACATGTAACCTCGCTTAGGTATTTCCAAAGAGGAGGAAGCACACTTACTTCAAGTTCAGTTTTTTCAGATGCTCTCATTTCTTACAAAAGAAATAATGTGCCTAGAGGTAACAACCAGGCTTTGATCTACAATTTCCTGTGCTGTTGCTAAACACGGTGAATTTTTTGTACTCACAGAAAGTTTACTGAGGCTGTGTTATGTTACTTTTGAGATCACTGTACTGACTTGAGAATGAAAAAAGCATTGAAGGCTGGAAAAATCTTACACTGGGGATCAGAAGCAATGATGCTTTCTGCTGATCTGCTTTACAACCTTTGGAAGTGGCAGTGTTCTGAAGAATAGATTGCCTCATGTGTCCACTAAGAGTTTTGTGTGTTATAGCAAGTAGAGCTGCGTATGCTTAAGCAAATAGGAATTAAAATTAACCTGTTGTGTTTACTTTTATGTCTGATCCCATCTGATCCTTCTCTGAGCATCTGCTGTACTGCCTCCCCCAGCACTGTGTGCAACCCGTTGTTACGTGGCAGCCAGCTGAAGGCAGCTCGTGAGCAGCAGAGGGGCAAAGACAAGTGCTTCAGAACGCTCTTCCCAGTTGCCCTGCATGCTTTGTGCTAGGTGCTCAGTGGCTTGACTGCCTTGAGAGAGTTTGAATGTTTCATGCTCTGTAAGGGTGTACAAAACACAGTGCTCAGACTGATAAGTGTATCTTACTTTAAAGGTGACAGCATGCTGAGTGTTTTGGCTCTGAGATGAAAAGCTGTCCTGTTCAGGTTATATCAGAGAGTTTTCTGTTAGAAACCTTTATGAAAATAAACGTACCACCCAGATGTACAAGAAAGAATGGTCTTCTAATCTCCTTGTTCTTCGTAACATAGCAAGTGTTGAGATGTGTGTGAGCGACCCTAAGATCAAGAATATCTCCAAGTCATCTGATCAAAACAAGGTCCTTCTCCAGAGTTCTGTTTTGCTGGTGTAATGTGAATCAGATGTTAGCAATTTCTTTGTTAGTTCTGGAAAGTTTCTGGTTTTGTTTTGAACACTGCTTTATGGCTTGTCCTTTCCATGTCTGATAGAGCAGATCAAAGGGGTAGCATTTTTTACACTGAACCCAATCAGTGTCACAGCACGATGGTATCATTTTCCAGTACAGTTCAGTTTATTACACTGTAGTCCTATGGAATTATTTGACAAGCTTTCGACCACTTAAATAACAGTGTGATGGGATGTGAAAACCACAGGAGCCAGGAAGGAGGCAATAGGCTGTGAGCAGGCCTTATCTGTCTTGCTGCAATGACATTTAGGGTTTTGCATTTAGAAACCTAATGCAAGGAGTGACCTGGACTGGGCTTCGCGTGGGAGTAGAGGTTTGGGGCTGGTTGATAATGGCTAGTGTTTGGTGCTTTGTAGAATGTGCAAGAAACCACAAAGAATCCTTCACTGAAGGAAATGATACGTGTGAATGGGGAGCCTTATGTCTCCAAAAAGGAAAAAAATATAAAAAATACAAATCCATATCCTTGCTTTTGTAAGGCAAGTGATCTCAGAATGAAACGCAGGCTGCAGAGCGGCCAGCAGCAGGAACTGGGATGGTAACTTCTGTACAGACTTAGGAGCAGAGTGGTTATCTATGAGGACGGCTGGGGAATGGGGCTCTGTAGAAATGTCCCATGTAGAAGAGCAATTAGTTACTCTCTAAGTGGCCACTCTTTGCAGCAGCAAAATCAATTGGCTGTGACTGCAATTTGATTAATGCTACTTACACGGAATCACCATTTCACTATCATGTAATCAAAAATCTTCACTCCGATTCAAAATGCATTTTAAATAAATACGAGTTTTTCAACTTTGAGATCTCTGTAAAATATCTTGTATTAAATAAATTAGAAATAGCAAGAGCCATTTGTATGCCAGTCCTAAGAATGCAGAGAAGAATGCACTGTGAAGGAAAAGGGTTTTTTTGCTACCCAGTGATGTGGCTGATGAAGCAAGCAAGTGCTTATGAGAAGGATAATTCTGATTTCATAGTTCTTCAACTTAAATGCAATTGTAACTCAAGTCCCTACTATTATTTCATCACACATCCGCAGTCACAAAAGGCGCGTGGCTGATTTCATGTACTGCTGTTGGTTGTGTACAAAATACACAAGTATTTTTGCACGTGGAATTCTGAAAGCGTACTCTGCAGTTTCTCTTTAAAAGCAGCATGATAGCAAGGAAATTGAACTGAAAGTGCAGTCAGAAGACAAGATGGCTTCAGCTCTCTGAAAAATGTGAGTCAGCTAAGGAGGAATTGCTGTTTCACTTTGCTGGTGGGAGCCTCAGGCCACCAAAAGCATGATGAATGTCCACATTAAATGAAGCTTACACTGGAGCACAGAAGACAAATAGCATCTCATTTTCAAATTTTGGTTAAAAATAATCCATGTAACATTTTATGCATGTTTAGAAACAGCTCTTTCTGTTCCGACTTGCATAGGAGCACAGGCTTAGATGTTTGTACAGAATTACATTTCTCCCAACTTTTGCTGCATTTTTGAAGTGATTTAATCTTGTTATGAAGCCTTTCCCCCACGATGTGCACTGAATTTACTAACACCATCCCGACCTTGGAAATAGTGTGATATTTTACAGCATGCAGTGACATTTATGTGTGCAACTTGGCTCCAAAAAATAGGTTAATTTCCAGAAATGAGATGCCAGGTTTAAACCTTACAAGATGATTTAATAATCCTGTATCAGCAAGTTGGGCTCACGACTGAGGCAGTTGACTGGGCAGTACGTTGTCAGTTGCAAATCTAAAACCACTTCACACATTTTTTTAGGTATGAAAGGTCAAATTAAATGTGCTGGGAAAAGAAAGGTTTCTAGCTTGTGTATTCTTGAATACCAAAATCCTAAATGTATGGATCAGCACTTCACAGATTTACCCTATAGGAAGTTAAAATTCTAGGCAATAATGTTTACGCATCCCCCAAATTATCAAAGTATTTCTGGAGGTAAAAGCACTATAAATGATAGAAAGTATAGTAAAAAAAAAAGAAAAAAAAGAAAAAAAAACACCACTTAATTGCTCGTATGGAGTCAATACTCAGACATTGGAAATAAGATTCAGAAATGTCCAACGATGGGTGGTGGACAAGGAGCTCATTTGGGCTTCCAAAATCAGTGACTCATACGGAGTTGGTTTTCACTTCATACAAACATCTACTGAATATCAGATGCCAGCTCTGGACCTGTAATGTAACATTTTAAAACTGTGGTTGTGAAGCTCCCCTTTCATTTTGCTGGCATCCATGTAATTTTATTGCTACCAAATTACATATTAATGTTACAATACTGGTTTATCTAAATCAAACAAGAATAAAAGGATCTGTGCGTGACCTTAAAAGCTGAGGAACCATGTTACATATAGAGACACACACTTATATAAATACAGAAACATAGCAATGACAAGAAAGCACTTAAAATTGAAAAATGATGTAAAATATAATTATCTTGCTTTTTCATTGAACAGTTTAACATGTATACTTAGTAGCTAAAGCGCAATTTGGTTTAAATTTCCAGTGTCTGATTCCAAGTAATTCTTTATTCTGTTTTTTAAGGCTGCAGTTAGTTCTGCTGCGTATTCTCATTCTTCGGTAATTTTTCCAAAGGATATGATTCACTTCTCCATTATTTGTAAAGAATATGGAAAAAGTAAAACATAGTTATTTTGTGGGCACTTGGAACTGGATGTAAAAAAAGTAGGTGGGCTGTTGATCATTGTGAGTCATTTCTTGGGAAGAGGGAAAGAACAAACGCTGCTGACCTACTGCTATGAAAGCCAAGGGCTCAGTGCTGACTCAAGCACGAATTGATTGCTGCAGAAAACAGTGGAGATCTAGCAGCAGGATTACAGAGGAAAGCCTTTTCTCCTTAAGTAATGAGGACTACTAAGAATTGCCTGTATGGACTTCTTGGAGCCGTTTGTTTGTTTTAACAGTTTTTGAATGTTATACATTAGTTAACTGGAACTAGAATCTGCAAACAACTGCTGCACCTAAATGAGGCTCCTTGTGAGTTTTCAGAAGTCCTGGCAAATCTGCAGGTGGGTGATGAAGTGCAAAGGCTGAGCCCTCCAACACTGAGATAGCTGCACCAATAGCTCTAATAAGGCAGTCCCTTACTGTTAATGAACATGTGTGTAATGTAAAATGTAGTTTAGTTTGCAAGACTGCGTACAAGAGAACAAATTCTACAGATTTCAGAAACAATCTCTTGTATGTAAACAGGTATTCATATGGTTTGCTGTTAACACGTTCCTCTCATCTCCATTTGCTTTGCTAAAATGATAGCAAGAAGTGTTGAGCAGCATCCAACGTGTCCATTCTGAACCAAACACCTTGGATTCCTCATCGCTTACAGGAGGAACCAATTCACACAGCTTTATCTGAGAGTGCGAGGCAGGAGGGACCCAGTGCTGATTCCGATCCTCACTCAGATATTTGATTGATTTAATGGCAGGTGACAGTATGGAAATGTATTTTATTTTCTCTCTCCATGCTGTATCGTACTGTGCTGTGGTTGCTATGCTGCTGTGCTTGGTAAGCAGGATACAGGTGAGATTCCACAAGCAGCCAACCCTCAGCGCTGTGTGACGAACCTTCCAACCAAAGAGGGAGTGTGTGATAAACTGAGGAACGCCTGGTGGGTTATTCAAGAAGCTGCTGTGGTGTTCGTGTGTTTATTTTTGTTTCTACACAAATATTTCTGAAAATAGGCCTGCCATAAGCAGTGATTTGATAACACATTGTCTTTTTTATACAAAACGTGTTAAATGATGTATGAAGATGGATGTATTTAGAAATTTTCAGTGCAAGAAAATACTTGAAGGCCAATTTAGCTTCTCTCTCTCTTTCTTTTTTTTTTAAATGAAGTTACTTAGACTTCAACAGTCTGTTTCTGAGTTCATACCAGTCCTGATTGATATAAACATTGGTATAAAAAATCTGCAGCAACATAAATACTTGGTGGCATATTTTTGTTTTGAATCTTATGCTTAGAAACTTATATTCTGAACAACAAAAAACACTTCTGATACCAAAACTGCTTTTAGAAAGTGACTTTATTTTACTGAACGGCCTTTGTAAGCTTTACTTAAACCAATCAGGCAGCTCCACTGGAAACTAGGCAACTCAGAAGCAGTATTCACAGCATGAATGCTATAGGTTCCAAAAAATCTGCACCAAGCTAAATGCTGCATTGTGATGTTCACACATTGCCACAATGATTGTGGGTGCTTATAGAGGCATTGAACAATCCACTGGTGAATGTTAACTTTGGAATGCAAGTGCTTCTATGTGCCCAGCTGCTGTTTCCTACTGTCAGTCAGAGGGCTCGCGTGGCCAGCGCAGATCCTTGGAGAAGGCGCCTTTGCAGCTCTGGATTTGAAAACAGCGTTCAAGTTGCAGCTCTGGAACAGCTGATCTCCAGCCAATAAATCCCTGGGAAGTCCTTGGAACTGGAGGAGATGGATCCACCTAGAATGGAAGTAAACATGGAATTCAATGATTAAAAGGATTTTGATGGTAATTTCTGTCACGCAACATCCTCCTTTGTGCTCCACTGTGGATGGAAATGAGAATGCATAAAAATAGTGAGTTTAAATGCATTCTGATTAATTAATATCCTGAATGCACACTGGCATTTATGGAAGATTGCCTACTTGCATGCAAGTTTGATTTATAAAACAGGATGGTTCATAATATAAAAAGTCATTAGGGTAATTTAGGTCCCATTCTGTAGCAAGGCACAGGGGAAAAGGGAAGTTCAGTGGACAAATTCCAGTGAAGTAACTAACTTTCATTTATGATTCTTTATAGAAGTCTTTTAGTGCCTTGACTGGTAGATATAACAGGAAACCAAAACTCAAAATTATCATTCAGTAATACATATTATACACTTTCTTCATGTATACAGTTTTGTTCAATATATTTCTAAGGGCTTTCTGTTATTAGAAGGATTTATTCTTTAGCTTTAACAGTAATCTTTAAGCTGTTTGCCTTCTCTAAACAGGAAAAACAGCACTTTATACTTGCTGCAGTGTTTTTGGTAGCAATGCTGCCATGGAATAACAGTTCTGTGGCCAAATGCTAAAGATATTACTGACCAAGCTGGCTTCTATGTCCAGAAGTACTCATCCATTCCACTTTCTACTTTAAAAGATGGGTAAGCATCAAGTTAATCTGCAACTAATCTTGCTAAAAAGGAAACAAAGCAAAAGCCAGCAGCCTCTGTTCAGTGACTGCTGTGCTTGCTTTGGCTGAATCATCTCAGTTGGGCACTTACATGGTTTTATCATCTGGGGACTTAGTAGAGAAACACACAGTAAGAGAACAATGTTTCAGTTCTCTTGCCAGAGTTACTTCACTTTGTTCTTTGGCCAAGACTAGAAATGTTTATGATATTTAGGTGGAGCAGTTCCTCCGAAAAGATAATTTTTATGGCCAGAAGTGCCACCCACCAAGCAGGATAATAAAGGAAATCACTTCCTACTTATGATCTGGGGGAAGGGACTATGAAGAAGCATGAATCCAGCCTAGAGAGAAGAACAGATACGATGCCTGTTACTATAGAGGTGAACATGCAGAAAGACACATCACGGTGTAGGAAAGGCAAACCTGAGCGACTCAAATTGGATGCCTGGGACAAAACTGCAGAACAAGTAGCGCTAATGGCAGAAGGGCCGCCGCTTGATTTCTGTCACTCTCAGCACTTGCTCTTTTATTCAGTTTAGTCTCAGTAGAAGTACTTGCTCACCTTATCTTACCACCCTTGGAATCCCTTGAAATTTAGGACAACAATTAGGAATTTTCAGTCTCTTTTGTTTCCCTAATCTTCTCAGAGCAGACTACCCTTGCTTTTTGTTGGCACGTTCTGCCTCTCCTTTTACGAGTGGGTTCCTCTCCCTTTGTGGGTGATCTAGCTCTATGGTTATTCTATTTGGTGGTGGATTCGGACGCTGTGTATTTATAAATCAAACACGTTGACTCATTAGAACTCACTTCTCTCAGCTGATCTAATTTGTGCCACTAAAAGAACAGAGGCAGTGTCTCAGCCAAAAATAATACTTGCACAAAGCTAGAAAAAATCTCCACATCTTAACCACTACTTAAAATTGAGAGATGAGGCTACGCTAAGCCTTGAAGTAAGGTATGTGCGTGTATATCTGAACAGTGACTGCTCTGGGCGTTCTTCTATAATAAACCATACAGCTGACTGCTGTGTTACTCGATGTCACAGAGAACGGGGACGTGCTTTAGGGAAAGATGATTTCATACATAAAGCTCTGTGAACTAACAACCACATCCAAAGGGCAATTCCTTGTTTTAAATGAGTGCTTTTAAAGCATTGCTTGGGCCGCTAGTACAATTTACTCTGACCTTTAGCTAAAGGCCCACCTCTACAAGTCAACTGGTTTTGGGGCTTGGGTGGTCTCTTCAGACAGGCATTGCTATACTGCAATCTCAGAATCTAATTTCTAACCTTAATATATTTTTCCACAGGTGTCACAGGTCGAATCCGCAGATGCTCTGGAAGCTGTATCTTGGGCTTTGGTTTTTTTTTCTTTTCATCTTCAGTCAACTGAAATAAAAACGTCACCATTAAAAAAATGGGCTCTGATATCTATCCCATTAACCTGACTGTTGCATCTGTTCTCTCTGTTCTTTCCACTTAAAACACGAGCACATACTGTAGTGTTTTGGAAGTTGTTGTTGTGTACTTTTTTTTCTTTTCCCCAGAAAGTGATATAAATTTGAATTTCAGGTGAAAGGCAAAATGCTGCTGAGTGATTCAACTCTCTTCATTGCACCAGATGTCCAGAAAGGGCTAGAAATATACCTTATGTACCTTCTATGACCACAAGGCAAAGACTAAGTTCACCAATAAGAACACATTGAGTTTGCCAGCTTTTCTGCTACCCATCTATCAGCACTGTGCAGAGGTGGTGTGAGTGGCAGACAGTGCTTGTCACGGATGGATGCTGAAGCTCAGAGGACAAAATGTTTCAGAGGTGCTGATGTAGATGCCTACAGCAATGTTCCAACATCCTGCAATGGATGCAGTGCTTCCAGCTTCATGTAGGGTAAATGTATGGCTGCATTCAGGGCCTACATTGCTCTTTAGCAATGAAAGATCATGATTCCAACCTAACGTTATGTGACGCTAGATTCTCATATCTAAACATTGGTGAGAATAGACACCTCTCCAAATATTTTAGTTCTCTGTAAGTTTCTCCACTGAAATTTTAATTAGCTAGAGCCTTTCCCCCTTGGTTTTTAATGTACCATATGGATAGACAAAGGGGAAATGTTTTCCTGTCAGTGTGCATCTCGTACTTGTTAGCACTGCTGGGAGCCGTGTTTCTCAGGAGAAATACATCAGGATGTGCGTGGCATATCAATTACCACTTGCTGCATTTCATTCAGAGGAAAGTCGGAACCCCGAGCCCACCTTTAAAGGTACTGCATTTGCAAACTGTGAACCTGGCTTAGCAAAGCATGCACAGCACTCCTCTGTGTGCTCACTGCTGTGTCTGCACAGCCTCGTGTGCCATCGTGCTCCACACCTCACCCAGCACCGTCCTGTTTTACCTCCTCAAGAGCTGTTTTCAAAAATCCCCATTTGTGAGACCATCTTCTTGCAGTTTCAAGCTCACTTTCAACGTATCGTTTCCTGAAATGGAGAAACGTGTGAGAAGACTCAGCTATATTCTAAAAGCATAAACCAACGAGCCCAATAAAAAGCACAGCAGAGCGTGAGCCTTCAGCCCTCTGCCTCCGAGCAGCACGGCTGCGCTGACAGCTCTCTGAGTGGAGGTGATGGGAGCTGTTTCCCACGGCTTGGAAAGGAGATGATGCACGTGAACGCAGCGCCTCGCAGGTGTCTGTGGTGACACCTGAAGCTCGGGTCCCGAGCTGCCCGCCTTCCCCTGCCCTCCCAAAGCTCTGTACCCTCGTGCCCGTAAGCACGAGCGAGCTCCTCCCGCCCCTGCTGAGCGGAGGGGGCAAAACAGAAGGGCTCTGCGGGCCGCTACCAGCAGCTGTCCTCAGCCACGGCGCTGCGCGGCTCTGCCATTTCCCTGCCGGGCGGGGCCGCGCGCTGCGGCCGTTGCGGGGCAATGAGCGCGTGGCCGTGCGCGCGGCCGGGGCGCGGAGCGGCTCCGTTGTTTGCTCTCCAGAGAGAGCGGCGCTCCTCGAGCGGCAGATGACCCGCGTTGTGCAGGCGAAGGGCTGCCAGCGCCCGCCGCTTCCTGAGGAGAGCAGGGAGGTGGGCTGCTGTAGTTCGTTCTCCATCATTTTCACTTATTTTCTGGACGCTACTCGCTAGGAATACACGTCAGAGCGGAGCAGGTGACAAGTGTTTCAGGGCAGGAGGCGTTTGCTGAGCTCCAGGTTCATTTTGCGGAGCTTAGCGCTGCCGCCTCGCATTGCAGAGCTGCGGCGCTTTATGGCCCTCCAATGAAAACCCCAACTGCGTGCAGTTTGTAACAAAGTTCACATTGTTTTGGCGCTTTCTTTTTTCTTTTCTTTTTTTTTTTTTTTTTTTTTTTTTTTTTTCTCCTCCTCCTTCAGCTCCTTTAGAAATCTAAATTGAGGAATATCAGAATTTGCACAGTGAAAGCGGCCCCTCTTGGCGCGAGGGCTTGAAGTAATTCCCCGCCCCTCGATGGAAGCTGGTTTGGACTGAGGCTGCAAATCGTTTTTCCCGCTGTCGGACGCTTATGGTCATTATAATATAAATGCAGACGCGTTCTGACCTTAGCCGGGTTGTTTATAGGTAGTGGGTTTGAATGCTTATTTGCTATTTGTTTCTTTATTGTCGAGCGAAGTATCTAAAAGTCTTAAATATTTGCACGTGAGAAGGCTGTAAATGTTTTCAGCTGTCATGTAGGTACCCCGAGAACTTCTATTTGAATTAGAGGGAAGGAAGGCGCTCTGCAGCCCTAAAACAGCAGCTCTCTAAAAATCAATCAACAAATGCAATATTTCATTTATGTGCCGTTTCTTGGTTCTCTGTTTGATAATTAGCCCAGCAATTAGATCAGCTGGGTCTGCTATCACACCCATAACTGCTTACTCATTGTCCTATTTAATTAACACCTGCTGCTTCGTCACAGTTATCTCAGGAGCCCTCTTATTGCAGACTAGATGTTTTGTGTGAGACAAGTAACTTGTTAACGAAAGCAATCCAATTCATGTATATATATATATATATATATGAAATTATGTATCAGGGTTTAACCTGCAGTAGCATTTGTCAGGAGGGAATGAAACTTCATACTAATTTAGTGAAAATAGAACCTAATAATGTTCTGTGTTTCTCTTTTGGTGCTTAACTGATGGTCTTTGAGAGGAGGGGATGCAGGGAGGTGAGCCGTCAGCTGGAGCTGTCATTTGGTTCTTCTGAGCATGGGATAATATTAAAAAACTTGCAGTATGGGGAAGCAAAGTGAGATAGGGATTAAGTGAACTGTCAGCTGTACAAAAAGTTTTAAGGTCAAGTATCCATTGAGATTTAGAGGTCATCTATGGAAAGTCTATAGCTTGTAGTTACATACAGCAGTGTTTGTCAGCACGTCACAAATGAAGTAAATAATAGGTAGGTACATAGGTAGTTTAAGGTGCATGTTTGAACGTGGTCAAGTCTAACTAGGAAACGAGATGATTTGACCCACGCTCTTCTGTGTGGTTCTACAAATGCTGCCAGCAGCCTGAGACAGGGCAATGATGGAGGGCTGGGTGGATGTGCTGGGTGTTACTGCTGGGTCTGTTTACAACACTATAGCCTTGGAATGTTGTGTTGGTATGGGTAGAGGTGGTATTGCTCTCTGAAGTAATTAGAGAACTGAAGTGACTTAAACAGACTCCTCAATAAGTGGAAATGAGGTCACTGATCTACTGTGTTTCACAAAACAGCTCCATGAATGGTTGTGTTTCTGCAATCAAAGCAACGAATGGAATGGAGACACTGGAGGGTGATGCATGAGCCAAGATGAGCAACCAAGGGTAGGTGGACCTTTTTATCACACGAGATGTTGTATAAAGCAGTGATGGCTTTGCTTATGTCATTGTTGGTCTTCAAAAGCAGTTAAGCTTTTCTGGGAATTTTGTATGCCTACGCTGATGAAAATGTGAAAGCTTTTTATATTGGTTGTTCATGGAGAAATGTCCAAATTAGCATACAGTAGCTCTGCTAATCTTTGAAACTGCTTGGAAGGAACAAACCTGTTCTCTTTCAGGCTCTAAGTGGGATTTTGCAAGTGTTGTTGATGAGCACCTCAACTTCCACTGAATGAACTGAGAGTGGTTCTAGATCATATTTGTGCTCAGGTTCTGTAGGTGCAGGTATGAAGCTCCTTATGTTTGACAGTACACTAAAACAGCTCTTCTGTAATGTTCAGTTCTGGTTACAAGGCCAGCCCTAAGTCATGGGCCTAATTCCAGCATTAAATTATCAACTACACAGTTTTTATTGGCCTACTATTCTTGCCAGTAGAGATAAGAATCCTCTGCTTCTCATCAGACTTGGGGAGGAAAACCAAAGAAAGAGGTTTTTGTTGTTGTTGTTGTTGTTGCAGAGGGTATTTTGAATGTTTTTATATTTTCTACTACATGAACTATAAACATAAATTGCTACTGTATGGTATTCAGTGCAGAGTTGTAATTAGATCTAAATCCTTGATCTCTTTAATAAGAGCTCTGCATTGTTCACATTGGAGTTACCAGGAAAAAGTACAGCTGAGCATTTTTGAGAATCATGAGATAAAAGCTATTGCTAGTTTACTATTTTACTACTCTGTGTGCATGTAAGGTAAGCGTAGGTAGAGGTTTGGGGATCAGCTAGCAGGACAGTTCCTGAGCAACTGATCTGCTTGTTTCCCTTTGAGGAGGTCTTAGCACCTTAAGGACTCTCCCAGCTTTTGGTAGACTCAGGTGTGCAGTAACATGAAAGTGCTCAGAGATTCTTCAAACCCTGTCCTCCTCCTGTGCTGTTCTAACAGTGCACTTCATCATGACCTGCAGTAACTGTCACCATGAAAGCAACGATACAAATGATAAGGAAAGACTTTCTTTCCACTTTGTGGAACTTACGAAAGTTTAGAGTTGAGGAGTAGAAGTTTACAACTGCTGTTTTCTATCTGAGAAATTCAGTGCAATATAGTAACGTGTAATGAAAAACACATGTTAGTGATCTGAGGAGTTGTCTCAGGGCTGTGCCACCAGCTTGGATGTGACCAGTAAGCGCCATGCGCTCCCAGTGTGGTGTGGCTGCTGCTGTACATCTGGTGGTTCCGTGGGGCAACTGTCAGTGTTCTGACTGGGCTGCTTGGCTGGAAGGTGCCAATAATCTATAAATAATCTATGCAGATGTGAGATAAAGCAGCGAGGGAAAGAAGAATGCTGATAGTCCTAAGGAAACCCACAGTGCTGTGTTCCAGCCTGTGCTCTATGGCTTTATTTGTTAAGGGCTGCACTTCTCACTATAAGCACTGCTGTCTTTGCATCCATCTGAAAACCTGAAAGGCATTATTTTCCTTTGTGCTTACATGTTACCACTCCTCCTCTGAGGGGAAGCCTCTGAAGATGAAGATGGATGTTGAGGTGTATTTAAATCCATACATAAATCTACACTTATGCACTTGCATTGAAAATGTTTACCAAAAAATGTTGGTTACTATTGGTAGTTCTGTACTTGTTGCCCCATGTTGCTTTTTACAGCACTGAGTACGGAAGTCAAATAGAAGAGATCAGTGAAAGACTCCAGCTATTTTTACAGTGTTTCTGGATAATACCTCAGACGTAGGCTGCTGAGTGGCAGACTGCTTTGCTAGGATGTGATTTGTTTTAAATAAACTATGTCCTATTGAGACCATGGACTCTGTCTTCATCCAAGAACAAAACCAAACCAACCAAACAAAAAAAGCCCCGAACAGCAATGAAACAATAATTAAAAACGCAACAAAAAAGAACCTTGCTGAAGTCCATCACATCAAGGAATATGTTAAGTAGAGTTCCTGGGTTACCATTTATGAGAGGAATCCGCGGTGTGCTGAGAATGATTGTATTTTGTAGCCAAATTTAGAATGGTCATGATCTTACGGCGGCTGTAGTTATCCCATGGCTTTTTGAGTGGTGTCTGGCATTTCTATTATCCCAATTTAAAAATGTTTTCTGTCTGTAAAATGTCACAGCTACAGCTTTTTGCAGGTTTCTGTGCTTGAGAGGTATGAGCAATCTTAACTGATTTAGATACTTGTCAATAATTTCTGTTAAATTTGGGTTTGTGAAGATCCATTGCTTCTGTTTGTGCTGTAGCTGTTGGAGTTTGATATATGTGCTTCCCAAAGTTATTTCTATGGTGCTGTGGAGGGTTTTTACACTGTCAAATTGTTGGACTTCTTGGTATCAAAATCCTTGGTTTGGTTACCTCTGAGTTCTGCTCCGGTTGCAGAGGACTTGCAGGATGCTGCCTGTTACAATTGAAAAGATCACAGATTATGACCACCACTGCTACCCTTCTCTGAGTGAACAGTTCTTGTAATGCCTACGTGCAGCACATCCTGGAATTCTCCCCAGCTACGTGCTGGAGTACCTCAGCATAATGTCTATTACGGTAAAGCAAAGAAGACATAATTTAGAGTTTTGTTGCATTATATAAACTGAAATCAAACAGTTCACGGTTTTTGAAAGTATTTTTTCTCTCAGTAAGTGCGTGTTTCAAATCAGAAGAGTTGCCTTTTTTCTTTTTGCATGGAAGGCAGGGGGCCTGGGACATTTTAATAGCTTTCATATTCAACTCCGCAAATACATTATTGCAGCATAATAGTTTCTTTGCATGAGAATTGCTTAAATGATTCAAAATGGATTGAAAAATATATTTCAGGTTTTAATTTTATGCACAGAACATTAATGAGCAGTGCCCCTTAGAGACATACTGTCAGTTTAACATATTCACAATAATCTCAACACAGATGTTATTCCATTTAAATCCTTTTAGAGAGAAGAAACTAGCAATTTTTCCTTGGAGAACATCAGAAAATATATTATTGTTGAAATTACATTTTGATCCCAGAGTGCTGTGTAAAATATCACTGCTAGGATGAATAAGTAGCACATTATTTCTGACGATAAGCCTGTAAAACTTTTCTGAGCCTTCCGTAAATTGTACAAACAAGTGGAAACTCTGTTAGTGCCGTGCAGTTCTGTTTCCCTTGAGGATGACTGTAGGTGATGATGGCTGTGAGTGTCTCATTGTGTTCCAATTTAAGAGGATATTTGTTTTTAGTTCAGAATTC